AGTAATTAATGACAGAATTTTCATTTTCGGGTGAACTAAAATATTTGCCAACTGTTTTATGATCGAAATGTTAAATGACCGGCAGTGATGCAAACTACTCAACTTTATGGGCATTTTAAATTTAAATTATGATAAATTTATGTGATTCATGTAATTGCTAACTGAATGTAAGACAAGTAACGTTTTGTATTTTCAACATATTAGGCATACAAATAAAAGTGCATAGTTCACCATTCTATTTCTTAAAGGAACACTCCACTATTTTTAAAAATAGGCTCATTTTCCAACTCCCCTAGAGTTAAACAGAGTTTTACCGTTTTCAAATCCATTCAGCCGATCTCCGGGACTGACGGTAGCACTTTTAGCTGTAGTTTAGCATAGATCATTGAATCTGATTAGTGTTCAAGACATGCTTATGGCCTTGTTTTTGGACTCACTCTGATTGTGATCATCTCCGTAATTTTCTTGTAGACATGTGCAGCACATGTTTCCTAACTACATCAGAGCACCTACTGGAGCTGAAGCAAAACCAGTTAGCCAGCTGTATGAAGGTAAAAAGCATTCAAACATCTTTTTAGTGTTTTAGTCAAGCACAATACATTCTCAGTAAATTTCACTAATGATTTGTGAGGGATTTCCACCCTGTTTGAGACATACTGAACATTAATTTATACTGTTGTGTAACGTCATATTTACATCCAACTTCAAATGTACATCAAAACTTAAATATCCAAATATTCCAAGGTCTGTCATATAAATTTTATGATGGATGGATCGATTGATTAATGGCAGAATGTGGCATAACAGGGTGGAATCAACATGGAACATTTATTTAAAATATAATTTTGTAATATTTACAGTAATCTCTATATATAAATCTTATTTTGTCCTGGCAGGTGATGAGGAGGGATATCAAGATGTGACTTTGTCACTGATGAGAGAAGCCTCTGTGAATACCACTGGAGCTCAAGAGTGGTGGGACATCAGCATTGCGGACTGCAGGGGGTCCTGTGGTGTTCTACCTATGGTCATCTTTAACGACAAAGTTAGCCCTCCAAGTTTGGGCTTTCTAGCAGGATATGGGTACAAAGCATTCATTCCTTCCATGAGATATAGTGCAGGCTTTTACTGTATTCACTGTCAACTCGATTGGAAAACATTTGATTTCTTGATTGTGTCAGTGTTATACGTTTCAGAATATTCCTCTAAACACGTCTCTCCTCCAGGATCATGGGTCTTTACGTGTCAGTGGTTCTGGTCATTGGCAAGTTTGTGCGAGGTTTTTTCAGCGAGATCTCTCACTCCATCATGTTTGAAGAACTGCCATGTGTGGACCGCATCCTCAAACTATGCATGGACATTTTCCTGGTGCGGGAAACCGGAGAACTGGAGCTGGAGGAAGAGATTTACTCCAAACTCATCTTCCTCTATCGCTCTCCAGAGACCATGATCAAGTGGACTAGAGAAAAGAATGAAGACTGAAACGGTTTTGTAGCTGGTGCAGCATCACGTGCTTGGACGTTCTGCATCATGATGTCCACTTCGGCCTCGAGGCCAGCTAGAACCAGTGGAGCTTTACTGCTCTTGTGACGTGAGCTTGTGACATTTTATAAGTTGGATGATTCAATGTCTCATGAACAATGAGTCTATAGCCATTTATCCAATGCTACGGATGTTGTTGGCTTCTTTGCACTCAGAGGTTGGATAACTGGGGTCAGGTTAAGCCTCTGCGTTATTCTGCCTGGACTGTGTTTAGTTTTGTCAGCAAGCTTGAAAATCAGCCTCTCTCAGAGGGACTCAATGTCAGTGATTCAGACGCTAACCCAGTGTCCTAGTGACCAGTGGGCGCAGAATGGTAGGACCTTCAAAGTGCAAATCCAAACACTATTAGAGTGAATCTCGCAAAACCATGTCTGGGTTATACTTTATCCCAAAATAACAGGAAATTATATTTTAGGACTATTCATTCAAAAATGAAATTTCTGTCATCATTTACTCACCTTCAAGTTGTTCCAAACCTGTCTGAGTTTCTTTCTTCTGTTGAACAAAAAGGTATTTTAAAAATGTATGTTACCAAACGGTTGCTCGTCCCTACTGACTTCCATAGTATGGACAGGGGGAAAAAATGCAATCAATTGTCAATGGGTTCCAGAAACCATTTGGTTACCAGCATTCTTCAAAAACATTTTGTGTTCAGTAGATTTGGAACAACATAAGGCTGAGTAAATCGTGACAGAATTTAAATTTTTTCAGTGCACTTTCCCTTTAAGATTTGTTTGTATAGGAAGTCTTAGCACTATTGCAATTTTGCAGAGTTTATGACAATCGACTGATTTCTATAATATAATCTGGATTTTTTTTTCAATGATTCTTATTACTATAATACAGTAATATACTGAAATGATCATAAAGTCGAGCCCAACTAATACTCATCGGGATATCATAATGTATAAATATTCCACAACTGAAATATTTTGAGTGCTTAATTGGCATGGAAATTGTCAGGCAAAAAATAATTTATAATAATTGTAACGATCACATAAGTAGGCTTCATTTTCTTTCTAGTGCTTGTAAGTTCTTGTGACTTTGGGGTGAAATATAACCCAGACATGGTTTTGTGAGATTTTCAATCATTTTAACTTTGTTTTTGTTCTGTTACTACAGCAAAAGTGTTTACAAGCCAAAGTATCTTAGGATGAGAGCCATTTAGTATTTTGTTTCTGGTTTTACAATTTCTGATCAAACACTTGAAGTCATTTTTCCTCATAAAAAAGACAATCAAGTAATTTGAATCTGACAGCTACTTCGTTGTTATGAATGGAAAGCGCCACACTTCCATTTGCTAAGTGCTGGAATGCTGTGCTTAGCAATTAGGGTTATTAGAACATTGTGTAATTGTATATGTCTTAAGTGCACACATTGTGTAATGAGTGTGCCAAATTTAATCTGTAAGGGGCTGGAATAATCATTTCCACTGTATGATTATGCAAAGGGCACAAACAAGTACTCTTTGGTTTTTTCTTCTTCAGAAATCAAATGTGAGCCTGTAAAATTCCTTGCTGTGTAGCAGTTTGCTAAATTACGAGTTTAAGAATGTTGCCCTTCTGCACAAATAAATGACTATTAATGATTGTGTTATGTCTGAATTATTATTAAATGCAGGCAAGGTTATATTGATTTAAATTTCAGCAGGCGTATTCACAAATTACTTTTTATTGACTTGCAAATGAAATAATTACTATGGAATACTTCTATGATTTGGATTTGAATAGGGTGAAACCATGCATTAGCAAGGCTAACCCTAGATACAGTCCTATAGAGAAAGCTGTTAATCACTTTGTCTAAACCAGGGGTAGGCAAGTTCGGTCCTAGAGAGCCGCAGTCCCTCCATCTTCCTCATCATCCTCCAAAAGGTACTCGCTGATTTCCATCTTCATCTGTGATCTGTGGAAAGAAACGGGTAAGTCTCATATATACAGAACGGGTACAAGCTCAACAAAAAGCTACAACTCCAGTGATATTTAGCAGAAGGTTGTTTCAAAATAGCTTCACAGTCATAAACGGGACAATAACTGGTAGTGTCAATGGTGCACAGTTCATCAATTATGACAGGACTTCAAGTTCAGCTGTAAAGCAGCTCTACAGAAGAAAACTGTCATTGTTCAGTTCAACGTTGATTCAATTTAGTTAAATAACTGTCAATGTTGCAAAGTTCATCAATTATGAAACAAGTTCAATTAGCAGATCTACAGAAGACAATCATTGTATTCTCATCTGATGGGGTCAGGTCTTTGTGTCACAACAGAATGAAATTTTAAGTCTTAAGTGGAGTCTTAAGTGGTCTTCCATAGGAGGAGGAAAATCATTCTGGTTTGGAAAGGGTGAGTAAATGACAACATTTTTTTTTTTTTATAAATGATATATTTAGGTTATGGAGCAGAATTTCCCACCTTTTCTGTCGTTTTTCTGCCTCTGTTATGATGTAAGGTGGAAGAGTGTTTGTTGCTACCTGCAGGAGAGAGTAAGCTCATCTATTATTGACATTACTGATACATATTTATAAGTGGACAGTTGACATTTATTTCCCTAAAATAATGTTGATTCAGAATGTATATGAATGTTCATGTAAATAGTCCTATCATGCAACACATTTTTGAAGTACAAATATTCCATATAGTCTCTAAATTGATATAAGCTCATAATATTTCAAATTTGAATATTACAGTAATTATAAAAATAAATGGAAAAATACTGTTTTATATGACATTACATGTGAAACTGCTGGACACTGCTGTGATGCCATGTCATCTACCACATACCAAAATGAATTTGATGAATGCAGTACACGTAATGATTGGACCCATGAGTTCTGAGCTTTTCTCAAACTCACCATGTCCTTGATAGTGAGTCTACAGCTGTAACACAAGAGCGTCTTCAAGTCCTGATGTGAAGGCAACCTGAAATACAATTCAGAAAAATGGAAAAAGAGGCAAATCAAATCTTATAGCATCAAATGCATTCCAACTACTGACTCAGCTTAAGCTAAAACTTCAAAAAGAGCACAAATGGAGGACAAAACTCACCTGTTTGAGGAACAGCAGCCTCCAGGCCCACAACCCTGACCCTCTGTGCAGCACTGCTCTGCAGACTGTGCTGGTGCATCTAGAGACGGGTCCTGAAGTTTAATCTGAGACAGCTGCTCAGATACCAAAGTAGCATGGAAGGCAGAAGCTTTATCTGCAAAAAAAAAAGTTTGTTGATTAAGAATTATTCAAAACTCATAACCCTACTACAAAGACAGGCTTACGGTGGTCAAGCTGGTTTTTGGAACATGGTAGCTTTTTTGCATTAATGTAATAATCTGTTTTAAACTAGACTTTAAAATGGTAGGAGTAAAGGCAACTAGTTCACTGGAATAATTACACAATGACAGTAAAGTAACAATACAGTAAGTACATTTTGAATGGAATGCTACTAGAACTGTTATGCTTTTGTTGGTTTAAATTCTGAAATAACTGCTGACAGCACTATTTTTAGTCTTTTACAGTCAGTAGCGTGCCTGCAGCCAATCTGGCAGCAAATGACACCCACATCATCAATGCTCTTACTTTTTTTTAAAATGCATCTATTGTGTATTAATGAGTATTTTACCCCATAGATTTTATGTACTTAGGCAATACTCTGCAGTGCAATCTGCACTAGATGCATTTATTTCCACAGAGCTTGTATGTAAGTAAATTATGTAAAATGGGAGCGTTATGAGACAAATGAGCATAGGCAAGAGAGAGAGAGAATTCAATTATTTCCAACATGCACTCATCCAAGGCACTTTTACTTCATTAATGTTAAGTGGTTGAGACTTTGATGGAATTGACTTCCACTATGTGACTCCATGGGTTCATTGCGGTTTCTTTGACAGATTCGATTTCCACTATGTGACTCTGTAAGTTTGTGCAAGCCATTTATCCTTGGATGCAATATAACAAAACTGATTAAGGAAATATCCGATTAAGGAAAAATGCTTACATATTGGGAAAAAAAATAACATGGTAAAAAGGATCATCGGTCAATCTCAACTGCAAATCAAACTCTGAGTCAGGAATTGAGGACCATGTCAACGTGTGACATAAACATGACCTTTGTTAGGTGCATAACCTACCTACTTTAGTGTCGAGAGTACAGAGACACAGCAGGCACTTGGAGGCAGGTTCAGCGGTTTGACTTTGAGGGGGCATTACCGTATGAAGTTTCTCACTAGTTCTGGAGAAAAATCATTAAGACAAGTCAGACAAGCCGGTCCATTTAAATGCAATTATCAGAGGACACCAACTGAATTCAGGGTCAGAGCCATTGTTTTCAGATCAATTACCTGTAGATAGTGCTAACAGTGGAGGGGAAGTCAAACTGTAGGTTGGTGACGAAACTCTCCGTCAGTCGCTGGATGCTGGCTTTATCGTGGGTCTGAAATGAAAGAGGAGTTTACAGTTACATTAAACCACGAGTCAAGTCTCATATCCTAGTCACAAAGTCCAAAATCAGGATGGAAAGACTGGAATCAGATCTGTTGTTTCAGGTAACAAAGTTTCAAATCTACTTAGAATAACTAATGCTGGGAATTTGCGATGTCAATAGCTGTTAAAATAACCAAGACAGCTATCACACTAACTAAATACAGCAGTTTAGGCAGAGAGCATTCAGTCACCGGAATTATTGAATCAATTACGTGGGTTTTTAGTTAGTTTCAGACAGTCTTAGATGCATAACATCTGAAATATGAATGGCACAAAAGCTGCAAGCACTTTCTTGAACTGGCAATCAGATTAAATTGTAATCAGAAAGTCTATAGACATTTCCAGAATTTTCTGGACAACCTATCACAGACAAACACCGATGTGCAATTATTTGAATACGTTTTTTCAAATAATTGCAGAGTGGCTCCAGTGTATGCTCACGTCAGTACAGGACACAACTTAAAAGACATTAAAAGCCTACTGGGGGAATCCATCTAAAGCGCTCTAGCACACTTGCTGACTTGCTTGAACGTTAAGTAGGACGGGCCACATGGGAAATGAGCAGGAGGTCTGTGGTACCATATAGTCTTAAAAAACCTCAAATATGTTTTCTGAGGAAGCAGAAGGTGAACCAATCCTTCCATTACCAGAAATAAAAAATCTAAATAAAAAATATTTGATATAAAGAAAAAGAGACTATTTTGAATCATAACGATTTTTGCATAGTCACTTAGTGCTTAGTCAATTACTACTCTAATACTATTCAAACTCTCATTGTCAAGATGTTTTTCCTTACTGTAGAATTGTCATGAGAACGAGATATTTTTGAGCTCAACTTAACATGGTAACAAAAACAACAGGAAACACAGGCTATGATGAATCATCACATGTATCCTCAACTCAGCATTTCAAGTAGCATGAGAGATATACATGACTGAAAGCGTAATGATGTTAGCAGCAGAAGAAATGACAGTGATGTAAGAACCACTGAGAGATATTATTCTTTTCCTGATGACAGACTCTCACCTTGGTATCCAGTCCTGAGATAAAAACTGAGGGCACATTAAACATCCTGCTGTAGAAGGCGATCTCTTTGGAGGAATAGTCCCTCATGGGCCGCACTATCACCACATCCCCATACCGAGGATCGGAGAAACCCTACAAAACAGCTTCATGTTGATATAAGAAACATTTGGGCTTGTTTTAATCGTATGACAGCACAGAACAAACTTTACTCACCGTATCTGAAGCCAGTGCTGCTCCACGACCCAGAGCGATATTACTGAGCAGTTTAACGGCCAGTCGTGAGCAGCTATCCCCCATCATGACCTTTGAGTAGCCGTTCTCACGGGCAATGTGCAGAATCAGGTGCTGCCTGTACCAATAAACATTTACGAACTGAAATCTTTATAGCAGGGTATTGCTAAATAAAGCAATAAGCCCCAAGAAGCCGTGGTTTACAGTGAATTTATAACAGCTAAGGGGCGTTGTTAGGCACGACGCGAAGCGTTATAAATTCACTGTAAACCACGGCTTCACGGGGCTTATTGCTTTTATATAACGGTTATTCCATATACGTAGTAAGCAGGGATTGAAATTTACTTTTTCACTCACCAGCCAATTTGGCTACTAAATTTTTAAGTTACCGGCCATTCATAACTTCTACTAGCCAAAAAAAAAAAAGACAGAAATACACCAACAGTTTGAGGCTGTCTACACTGGGCGTGACAAAGCGACCGTTGCAAATCGTTTAGTCAGTACTAGGGGTGTGCGATATTGACAAAAAATAATATCCCAATATTTTCTGTGATTTTATCAATAAAGATAATTAGACGATATTTTGCTGAGTGTGTTATTGTGCTGATATCTTAAGGACTACCGTGGACAGCTGACTCCTTTATTGAACTGTTGTATAAAATAATTATCACATTTGTAACCATGCTGATGTTTTAAGAAAAAACGGCACTCTTCGTGTGATATTGATTAACTAAATGAATTGATATAAATATATACATTTTCTGCCTCCTTATCTTGAATTATGTGATCATTCTTAATGCATTATTAATAGACTGAATCATGCAGTGAAAGAACCACTCTAAATGCGCACGCGCACTAAATCCTGTGTCGGTCTAATCAGACTTCATCACGTCGCGTATGCACGCCTCTGTAGGTGTGTTTTGTTTAGCTTTTGCAATATACTCGATAATGTCATGATGTCTCACGAGTTAAGTATTTGCGCTAACCCTGCTCAGATTTGGCCTGCATGAACTTCCCCAAGAAATGAATGAGTGAACATAATTTACGAAAAGTAACTCGGCCGTTAAATTGGCTAGTGATTTGACAGCGTTACCCGCCACAGCTGATTTTTACCCGCATTTGGCGGGTGTTAATTTCAAACCCTGGTAGTAAGGTTTCACAGAATTAAACGGAGCAAATAAAGTGTAATGATATAAATAAAAACAGTATTCTTCCACCAAACAATGCAGTTCCTCAGAAACAGTTGTGGTTCCAACAAAGTGGTTGCTGAGCAACACAGAAGTAAACAAGGGTGTATGTTTGTAGTGTAATTTACAACAGCTTTGAACGCGGCTCAACCAATCAGAATCAAGGACCGGAACTATCCGTTTTATAATTCTTGATTATGATTGGTTCAGAGGTGTTCCAATGCATTTGATGTCAATAATGGCATTCTACTGTCATACATTTTCTGTAGTGCTATTATAGTTAACTAAAGCTAGTGTTAAATTATCGTAACTAAAATTTTTTTATTACTTAAACATTAACTGAAATATAAAATATACATAAAAAAAAAACGTATTTTCTCATTTTAAATTAAATTAAAATACTAAAAGTACTAACTGGAGTACTAACTGGATTAAAAGCATAGTGACAAACTCATTTTTTATTTTGTAAAAAAATATGTATAACTAAAAATTTAAATTATAGATATTGTTTTTTAAATAATAAACGAACATAAAAAGACAAAAGTACACATCAACATTGCTACATTTTTTTTACTAAAATTAAAATAAAAAATTTACAAATAAAATAAATTAACAAAACTTTAACAAAATATTAACAAAACTATAACAGTATATTAATGATACTAAAATAACACTGATGACCACCAAACCATATAACTGACCATTTTCTTCCGTATTTTATGGGAAAATATTCTAAAACAAGGTGTCCCAAACTGGGGTTTACAAAAGAAATACATGGGGTTTTTGAGTTGATAAGAAAGGTAAAAATTAATGAAAACAACATTTTAAATTAAAATGTTTTTAAAATGTATTCAATAATTGCAATAACCAGCATTACAGATTTGTGAACATGCGAATGTGTTGTTAAAGTATTAAAATATTTAAAAATCTCAATTTTTAAAAAAGAAGTCATTTCAAATATGTATTTTAGATCAAAGGATTTGGCTGACAAAAAAAAGTTTGCAAAGCCTTGTTCTAAAATGTAAAATCCCACATAGAGACTTCCGTTAACACATTTAAGGATGCAAACACGTTGATTTTGTATTTTAAAACGAATATTTTTCTAACAAGGTTAAACTAGACAAGTCTCTAAAATCTCTTAATGCTGTCATACAGAAAAAGAGAGAAAAAAAAGGGTAGGGAAACTAACCAACTGGCATGGCCCAAATAGACTAAATTGTCTAAATAAAAAGTGGACAAACACATCATTACTATTTAAAAAGCTGCTTAACTTCCACTAAAATCACTGTGAATGAATACCCAATACACAGTGGATAAGCCAGACACATCTCTTCTAGATCACTTCAGTTGAAGAGCGTAATATTAAAAGGACACATTACAGCAATATCCTCCATATACTGTCTTCTTAACTGTTAGTTATAGGCGATAAAAAAAGCTTCAGAGAATGCACTGAGTGATATTCATTGTGAAGGTAAATGTCGCTAATCACTCCATCACTCACGGTTCTATCCAGTGAAGCTTTAAGCTCCAAGAGAGACTGATTGTCTGACTCAACACTCAAACAGACTTCAAAGATCCAGATCTTCAGTGATGAATCAGTCTAATGTCACACAAAAGTGATCAGAGACAGGAGGGGTGAAGGAGCGCATGATGCAAAGAAAGACTATGAAAGCATCAGGAAAGTACCACAAAAAACTTGGGGAAGGTGACTCAGCTGAGCCATTGTCATTATATAAAAAAAATAAGTAAAACACAAAGTGCTAAAAAATCATCTTGTGCTTGGCACTTCAAACACACTTTTAAAGAAGTTGCTGCCTGTCAATCTATTCATAATTTAAAGTAGTTGAACTATAATCAAGTAAACATTTTGAGAAGTTAGCTACACTTAAGTAAGAGATAATGTACAGTTAGCCAGTCATTATCGCAAAATGTATCAAACAAAATGGTTTTATTTTGCGATTATGACTAGCTGGCTGAAAATTATTCCATGGTAACTCCATGGACGGAAAAATATTGATGTAAACTGAAATTATTGGTCACATTTTATTTTAAGGTCCAATTCTCACTGATGATGATGATGATGATGATGATAAAACCATTAACTACGACTTTTGCCTCAATAAACTAAGTTGCTGCTTATTTATAGTTAGTAAGGTATTTGTTAAGTTTAGGTATTGGGTAGGATAAGGGATGTAGAATATGGTCATGCAGAATATGTACAGAGAAAATACAGCTGAGCAATATCATGGTAATGTTTATGCTCCGAATATTTCATCTGCAATATGCATAATGCAATACTTAAATAATAATAATAATAATAATAATAATAATAATAATAACACAATAGGCTAATAAGTGAGAAAACAGTCGATGTCGATGGTAAAGTCAGGCTACTTGCTAGCTATATAAAAATATACAAAGTAACCTTGTTACATTAAAGAGCCTGCTTTAACAGATAAAAATAGTTTTGTTAGTAGGCTATATACCTTGGTATAAATTATTGCATTTATGAATCAGTGATATTTGTTACTTGAATATAAACCATTAATTTAGTCCTATGTTGTATTTTTGTAACAAATTAGATTAAAGGGGTCATATGATGCAATTTCATTTTTTCCTTTCTCTTTGGAGTGTTACAAGCTCTTGGTGCATAAAGAAGATCTGTAAAGTTGCAAAGACTAAAGTCTGATCACAAATGCAGACATGGTTTTATGTTTACGCAGCGCAATGCAACGCAATGCGTAAAAAGGCAGTATATGTCATTATAATCAGTAATTATGTCCCCACTGGATGCAACAAATGCCTCGTTTGTAATGGGTTTTCATGTTTTTGTGTCGTTGCTCCGGCCGGACACGGCATCAACACAGTATGGTGAGGGGCGTAACATTTCCGTCTCACGCTTGAGGTATTCGGCCAATCCAAACGCTCTGGATAGCTGGCCAATCAGAGCACACCTCGCTTTTTCAGACCGATGAGCTTTGTAAAAATCGACGCGTTTCAGAAGGCGGGGCATAGAGGAGAAACAATAATGTACAGTATGTGGAAAATAATGTGTTTTTTTTTTACTTTAAACCGCATAAACACATTTCATTACACCAAATACACAAAATAATGTTCTTTTTAGCAGCATCATATGACCCCTTTAAATAGCAACAAACAAGAACACGAACATGTGATATTAAACAATAGCCTGTTCCGAGAAAATGAAAATGTTGGATTTGGTGCTTGATGAAGCCACTGGCAATAAAACTTATAAAAACGTTGCACACCAGCAGATTTGCAAACTATAGAAGACAGGAATTTGGATGAGCGGCTTGCGTGCCATCACTTTTCCTCCAGATATTTGTAATGTTTTACGGAGGCGAAATAAATCGAATGTTCATTTTAACGGCATCTAGCACAAACGAACGTAGCCGTTGGCATGGACGGAGAGCTCCCTGAATTAGCATTTGTTATTCCTAGGGAGAATGTGTTCAATATTCTAATGTCACAAATCAAGCACAAACGAATTAGAACGATTTAGACTCACAGTAAAAAAACAAACAATAAAAAACGGTCTCACCATTTCAAATTAATGCTGCCTTGAAATGTAAGCTTAGTCAACTTGAAATATGAAGTTAGTGAAAACTTGGAGCTGACTAAACTTAAGATTTTAAGGCAGCACGAACACATTTTTATTTTATTTTTTTAACTCTGCGGCCGTGCTAAACGGGGTGGAGAGTAAAGTTTCTGTTATATTTAAGAAGAGGTCATGGTTACATTGTTTCTTTTAACGGCACAAACCAGCACAAATCGAGCACAAACGAACGGCACCGGTTTGGAGGGATTTGGCCCGTCACTGGCCCGTTTTGTATTTGTTACTTCTGAAGACGGGAAATAAATACAATGTAAATTTGAACGGCACAAATCGAGCACAAACGAATGGCACCGTTTTGGAACAATTTAGATTGCATGGGGTGGAGAGTGACGTCACTGTTCGTAAAAAGTTTATTTTTGTTATATAAAAGAAGCGGTCATAGTTACAAAGTTTCTTTTAATGGCACAAACCAGCACAAATCGAGCACAAACGAACGGCACCAGTTTGGAGAGATTTGGACGGCATGGGGTGGAGAGTGATGTCACTGCCCAGAATTGTTTTTGTTATTTCTAAGAAGGGGAAATATATTTGACGTTCATTTCAACAGCACAAACCGGCACAAATCGAGGACAAATGAATAACACCAGTTTTGTGTGATTTAGACGAACTGGGGTGGAGAGTGACGTCACAGCTCCCGAAAATATTTTGGTTATATCTAAGGAAGGAAAATAGATGCAGTGTTTGTTTTAACGGCACAAAGTGACGTCACAGCTCCCGAAAATATTTTGGTTATATCTAAGGAAGGAAAATAGATACAGCGTTTGTTTTAACGGCACAAACGAGCACAAACGAACTGCGTTGGTTTGGAGCGATTTGGACAACATGGGGTGGTGAGTGACGTCACACGGTCAAAAAAATAATGTTTAATATCTCAAACACCAAACCAGCACAAACGTTAATTTTTGCGGCACAAATCAGCACAAACGAATGGCATAGTTTTGGTGATTATTTCTTTTTATGGGGTGCCAACTTCACGGAGGTCCAAAACTTGGGACACCCATTCACGACCCCCCCCCCCACTTAAAAAGAAAGAAGAAAAGAAATAAAAACAAGGACACAAATAATCAGTGAGGAACTCATAGCTTAACAATACACCATGAGAAAACATGTTCGTGTATGTAAATGATTAATTCATATTAGTCTTTTTTTTTTTTACCGTTCTGCAGCTGTTACCTGGATAAGATAAATTTTACATTTTATTTTTTATTCATTTGCTTAAATTAGGACTACATTAAATCTAAATAATTTAGTATTATTTAAACTTTTTACAATGTCAAATTGTATTTGACATATATGCTTTTTTATTATGTATATATTTATGATTAATATAAATTATAAATGAAT